TCTCTCTCTCTCTCTCTCTCTCTCTCTCTCTCTCTCTCTCTCTCTCTCTCTCTCTCTGTGTGTGTGTGTGTGTGTGTGTGTGTGTGTGTGCGTGTCTCGATGCACGCACACACACACAGCACGCATCTCCCACACAGAGAGCATATCACATCAGTTGATGTGCCACATAAAAATTTGATGCTCATCACACCCTTCTCCCTCTCCACACACACCTACAACAGAGGAGCGACCAGGTAAACACTGTCAAAGCTATGCCACTTTGCAACGTCACAAGAATCCGCCTTACTTGGTCACATCTTGTATAATTGCAAGATCTGATATTCACGATCTTCTCTCCATTGTGATTGAATTTTCTTGGGCGCACAGGGTGAAGCATTTAAGGCTGCTGTCACAGGCAGTCGTGAGCGAGCTCAAGACCTATTCAACACCTTCGACCACAACAGAAAGGGATTTCTTGATCCGGTACTTCTACCTACCCCCATCCTTTTTTTTTTTTTTTTTTTTTTTTTTTTTGAGAACAACCCGATCGGATGCTACCTACCCCCATCCTACCGAGTCTTCTCTTCTGTTCCTCTCTTTTCTCACTGCAACCAATGCTCACAAGGCAGGAAAGCCCACTTTCTGATGGCAGGAAAGTTACAGCAGGAACTTCTCTTCTTGACAGCCATTATAGGGAATCTTTTACTAGAAGAATCTTTATTTTTTGTATATTGATTAATATAAATTAATTGAATCTAATTTAATTAATTTATTAGTAAGTTACCGCAGTAACTTAGCCCTCCTTTTGCATGAGTTGGCTAAGGTACAGCAGTAACTTAGCCCTCAGAGTCATTTTGATGTTCGCTGTAACTTAGCCAACTCATGCAGAAAGGGGGGCTTGTAGTTCCTGATGGGATAACCCTTTCTTCTTCCTGCTTCCCTGTGTTCCATTCTACCTCCGCCGCAATCCAGCCGCCCTGGTCACCCTCCAGCCAGTCATTGTTTGATTTTGTTGCTTTGATTTCCGTTTTTGTACGGAAAAAAAAAGGGCCAATTTTTCTGTCACTTTCTCCCACTGTCTTCATAGCTCTATATCCGTACCTGCTGTTTTATTGTATCAGTCAAATCCGGGCCATCTACAATCCAGACGTGCGCCCTCCATTTCGAATGTACATCGCCTCCACCAGAGGGCCCACAGCGCCGCTGTAATTCCGATCTGAAACACATGTTACTTGCATTGCAAAGATACTAGCCTGCTCCGATTGCCAGGCCCCCGCACAAGAGAGCGCCGCGCCCGCCATCGTTCCCATGACCTTTGTTCCTGCGTTCCCACCTAGTTCTCCCCAAATTCAATCCCACCACCGCAATATCCACACCGCACCTGGGCACTGCCGCATAATGTCTTCAATAGTTTCAGAGATCCTACGTGCAGAGAAACCGATTGCTGCAAAGTTTGCACCATCGGGGGGGGGGGGGGCTTGGCCCCTCTGTTCAAGATGTGTCCCATCAATCAAACTTTTTTTTTTTTTTTTTTTTTTTTTTTTTTCAATCAATCAATAATTAGTGGGCAGGGCTTGGCCTTTGCCATTTCCCCAAACCGTTTAATCGGACGGAGTCTATCCCTTGAATCCCTTCCAAGGCCTAAAGCTGGCGGCTACGTGGTGGTCCCGCCCCTCCTCTGACGAGAGGTCCATATCCAATTTGCAGGGTCGAAAGCCAATTGGGACAATGTTGGTTCAGGTCTGTATGCTATCCAGTGTTCCTCCTAGTCCCGAACTCTATAGACCGGAATGAATACACAGCCCAAATGCTATCCAGTGTTCCTCCTGGTTCCGAACGCTATAGACAGGGAATTCATACACAGCGTGAATGCTATCCGGTGTTCCTCCGGGTCACGAACGCTATAGACGGGAATTCATACACAGCGCAAATGCTATCCAGCGTTCCTCCTAGTCCCCAACGTGGTAGACCGAAATCCATACACAGCCCGAATGCTATCAGTTGTTCCCGAACTGTATAGACTGTAATTCGTACACAACCCGAATGATATCCAGTTTGTTCCTTGTCCCGCATCTGGGTTCATATTAAACCCGAATTGTGTCCGGAATGGGAAATATTGACCCAAAGTCTACAGAGTAGTATAGACCTGTGCTGTATGACAAAGCCATCTGACTTCCTCTTGCTTCTTGAAAAAATAACCAACCTTCCACGTCCGCCGGGTGTGAGGACTTCTAGAAGCTGAATTCTTCTACCTAAAGTTCCTTGTCACCCCTGGATAGACCTGGTGAGCTTATTGTCCTCTTGCTTCTAGAAAAAGTCAACAAGGACTTCCCCAATCTGCCGGGGTGAGTGTCGACATTGTTACCCCCACTTTATCAGACCCCCTCTAACTGCAATCCAATCACTACCTTCTAAGGGTAGGGCCTTTCCTAAAAATAAGGACGACCCAATCCGGGGGGAATCGAGAAAAGATGAGAGTGTTTAGTGCCTCCTGGGGCTTGTGGGAGTATCTGAGCTTTCGCCCGAGTTCTTCGGCTGTTACGCAGGACTTTTTTTTTTTTTTTACAAGAAGGCAACCATTGCATTATATGCCGGAAAACGAGTCCGGCGTCCCGAACATATAAGCCGCAGCCATACAGGTCTGGGAAAAGCACTCCCGACCGATCCCATCGCCGACTGCAGCAGTTACCCAGGGGCCAGGACTGAATAGTGCTAAATGCAAATTTAATAATTTATAGAGGATAAGCTTCGAACGAGTTCCGCAACAGCCATTGCGCAGCTGACGTGTAGTGCGGTTCTTGATCACGCATGACGAGGTTAAGCCTCAAATGCATCGCGCAACTGACGTGCAGTGCGGTTCTTGATCACGCATGAGGAGGTCAAGCCTCGAACGGGCCAAAACACATCAGGTGGGCGGGATGGCCAGGATAGATCCATAACCCATAACGGAGCAATTCAACGTCACTAGCAGTGTAGATTGCCATTTGAATGTCAACAAGAATTTTGCTGGTTTTGTCTATTTTCGATACCTTGCTCTGTGTATCTGTAATCTATGCTCTCTCTCTCTCTCTCTCTCTCTCTCTCTCTCTCTCTCTCTCTCTCTCTCTCTCTCTCTCTCTCTCTCTCTCTCTCTCTGTGTGTTGGTTTTGCCAACTTTTGCTTTTGCCTATTTTCGATATCTTGCTCCGTGTATCTGTAATGTATGCAGTCTCTCTCTCTCTCTCTCTCTCTCTCTCTCTCTCTCTCTCTCTCTCTCTCTCTCTCTCTCTCTCTCTTCAGTGTGGCGAATGAACGAGTGTTTTGTCAGTGGGCGGATGTCTGGGAATCTGCGTAATCTGTCTACGAATGAGCTTGAATTGCGTCTTTCATCAGTTGCTGGTCGTAGCCTCGAGCTGGAAGGGTGCGAAACAGCAACACCACACATGTGACGCACGAGTACGTGGACACTAATCTGCGCCGCTGACATGCATCCCGTCCTGTTGACTGAATGGTGATGCAGGAAAACATCGATGCTCTGGCCAAGGAATTGATGCCAGCCATCAGCCTGGAAAGCCGCCGGCTACTGCAAACAGGCCTGCTGCTCACCGCCGGATCTTCGAGTTTGAAGCAAAAAGTTACAGGACTGAGATTTCCTGAACTGCTGCGAAAATTAAGATTCGTGGAGGAAAGAGCTCGCTCGTAGGATGCAAAAAGAACCACCAATTCTGCAATGCCAACGCTGATTACAGCAGGCTCTTAACATCATGGGCAGTCACAACCTTCCCACAGTACACACACACACACACACACACACACACACACACACACACACACACACAACTGTCCATATTGCACGTTTGGTCAGATAAAGAGAGAGCAGCTTCTGCCTGTTGCACGTTTGGCAGCATTCTAGCAATATACCAGCTGCTAAGCATCAGATTCAGCTGGGGGGTTCAAACTTCAAACGAATGCAGGTGCTGTCATCAGTGTTTTTCTGAACTTTACACACCCACCTTGTGTTGTCCTCTGGTTAAGTGTGTGACCGTGACACATCCCATTTGTACACACACACACACACACACACACACACACACAGGTACACACACACACACACACACACATGTGCACACACACACATATCACACACATATCGCACACATTTCATACACATTTCATACACATCTCACACACCAGCACAAGCATGCCCAACCAAATATGCGCACATGATCACAATCTGTCACTGCTGGCGGCTGGATCCTCTGTTGACTATCCATGAGCTAAAGAGAGAGAGAGAAGAAATCAACAAATTGACATTGTATATACGAGGATCACATAAAGCATGGGAATACGTGAGGGGGAGATGATATACATTAATATATACATTGCCTTGGCATTAAACAATGTGCGACGGGACTCAGCAAAGCCTGCAGACGCTGCACTCCAACTGAAGTGAGACTGACCTGCAACTGACAAGGCCAACATAAACCGCAGCTCACTGAAGCTCAAAAAGTCAACTTCGCTCTCAAATCGGCAAGGAAGTCAACTTCGCTCTCAAATCGGCAACTAAGTCAACTTCGCTCTCAAATCGGCAAGGTCAAAGGTTGACTACTCTCTCTCAAAAGTCAAAACAGGAGTTTCAAGGGGTCAGCGTAACCCTGCGATGACCTTTACTTGTTGCAAAAAAGAGATGGAGTACAACGCCGTCATCTGGTTCACGGGAGCCATCAAGTGATACCTCTGGTGTACACACTGTACACGTGAACGTCGTGAAGTGAGGCCAAGCAGCAGACCAGCGCCTGAACTGTGGTGGAGTATCTGGGTCCAGTCGAGACTTCAACTCAAACTACCCGCAGAGTCAGAGGAGGGTAGAGGAGGATAGTTAAAAGTCTCATCAACATCCAGAACTCTCCTTGCATCCTGTCGATGCTGAATAGACCGGTGGGCACCACACTGTGGCCATAGCTATTCTGACCTATGTGAGAGAGTTACTGCGCAGCGTGCGCTCCACACGAGAAAGTTACTGCGCAGCGTGCGGTCCACATGAGAAAGTTACTGCGCAGCATGCGCTCCACATGAGAAAGTTACTGTGCAGCATGCGCTCCACATCTGGCGTCCGCATGCGGAAAAAAAAAGAGGCGGAGGAAAAGGGATCACAGCAGCAGATTCATGTGGACATAGCAAAAGCACATCATGTGAGGCTTTACTCTTGTGGAGGAGATGACGTGCCAACCGATAGAACCAGAGTGAGCTCACGTTATTCCGGCATCTCACCCTTCTGCCTCGTCCACACGAGAAAGGAAGGGCACACAAGGAAGGGAGAAGGGAGTCCGCACGAGGTAACCGTAACGCAAAAAAGAGGGATGGTTGTCCGCACGAGGTGACAGTGACGCATTATTACGAGATAAAGACAGCTTGGGCAACAACAACAACAAGAGAAACAACAGTAACAAGAACAACAACAACAACAACAACAACAACGAGGTAGAAGTTGACCCAGCCAGAGATCCATTTGCACACTGTCAGGCACATAAGAGTACTGAGCTATGGATTCAGTGGCACATAGATCAAGCCCCTCGTCCTCCTCGTCATCATCATCATCATTCGATTATGACAACAATGGAGAGACCTGCAAGCAATGAATGATGGCCAATATGTCACCAAATTCCCCAATTCCATTTCGTAAAATTCAAAGGGAAAGGCGGCGTCGACAAACTCGGAAGCACCACAGGAAGGGCCACACTACAGACAAAAAGTGACACGCAGGATTACGGAACTCACTCACTGCAAGGAAAAGAAGGACGGATGAGTCCGATGAGGATATACGCTGAGAAGACTTGCTAATCAACGACACCAGTGACCAGACGCATGAAACAGCCTCAACACAGAAAAGAAAATGCCTAGTATGTGCAATGTGCATCCTGAGCAGGAAGAGAGGGAGTATGAGTACCTACTACGTACGCTTCAGAATTCAGAAGACCTGGCGCCCGTCTGTCTGGCCGCTCTGGCGTGTAGATTCCAGGTTCATGGATTCGGAATCGCCGTAGGTCCAGACATGCTCACCCCAGTAAGATCGAATGTGATCTAGCACAACATCTTGAAATGTGACAGATTTGTATTTTCAAATCTGAAGTAAGAAACAAAAAACAGTAGAAATAGGCATTGAGCTGTCTTTTTCTCACAGATTCTGTCTTCAGTAAAGTTGGTATTAGGTGTGCCTTTTCTCTCCTCTTTTCGCTTACAGTAAAATAGGTTTTATCATAGAGTATTAGAATCGATGTTGTTGCATTTCCGATGAATAGTATATATATATCGTCAAACAGAGCTGCCTACTGTAAGCCGTAGGCAGAGAGGGAGAAGAGGACAAGAAACCGAGGGGCTGTGACAAACTGTTTAATATAATAACTTAATAAGTATATTACTATATTGCATTGAATCATTTCGAGACTGGAATAGAATCGAGTACATACTACATACTACATAGCATACTTGCAAGGGGACGCCGTCCGGGCGGTTCCGGACGTGCGGCAGACCGTCGGACCGGACCCGCGCGGCGTCCCGACGACCAGTTACGCCCCACCCGCCCCCCAAAAAAAAAATATATGGCCCTGTCCGGTCCGGTCCGGTCCGGTCCGGGTCCGTCTGGTCCGGGGGGAGGGTGCCGCACGCGGCAAAGCGGACCGGACCGGACGCTCATCCGGTCCGTCTGCTTGCAAGTATGCTACATAGTACATATCATATCCTATTGCTCGTACACCACCGCTCCTGGCTCTGCATGAAGGCCTCATACCACCTGCCGAGCCAGCACACTGCCAATCTCACAGCACTTTTCTACGAGCATGGCAGGCATGGCAGCGATGATGGCGTTGAGCAGCGTTTCCCTTCTTCTTCTTCTTCTTCTTCTTCTTTCTTCCAAAGTTCACAAAGGCGATACCTAGTACACATTCAAGGTCAACCAACCTAATTTCGCGGCGATCCTCATCTGTACCATCATACTACCATGATGTAGCCAGAACCTAGAGGTTCTGACCTTTTCCTTCAAAAAAAAAAAAAAAAAAAAAAAAAAAAAAAAAAAACATGATGTACTCTCTGAATCATTGCAGAAAAACAAATCAAAAAATACTAAAATAGATACGATGGCAGTGCATTCGGCAATCATTTGTTACTCCATGCATGCAAACAACAGAGGCCCTGAACATCACACTCCGCTGCGACCCTCCAGGGCGTTGAAGTAGACACTACATGAAGTCCTCTTGGAGTGCATTTGCTAAACGCCGGGCGCCGGGTCAGAGCGGAGTGTGACGTTCAGTGGCTACTTCAACGGAACGGATTGTAATTGACGGCTGACAGCCTCTTTCAATCTTCCAAGTGATACTTCTTCTTCTTCTTCTTCTTCTTCTTCTTCTTTTTTTTTTATTTTTTTTTATTTTTTATTTGGACCATTTCTCGATTTATGCGTGTCATCCTTGCGCAGGGGCCATGCTAATCTTCTCTTTCTCTGTATCGTTCCAATTTTAACGGATGTCCCGAAGGACTTCCAAGTGATACTTCTAAAAGAGGACTTCATGCAAATGTTTGCACTTCATGCAGAGAATTACTGCAAACGTTTCCGCGTCATGTGTGATGATCTTGTTAAGCATCCAGAACCGCAAAAAAAAAAAAACGTTTCCGCGTCATGTKKRAWRAYYTTKTTAASMATCCRRAACSSCAAAAAAAAAAAAAAAAAAAAAGGTATACTTCAAAAAAAAGTATGCTTGGATCGAAAGAGCATGCCAGCAATAATCCATTGAAGCAGGCCTGCCGGCAGTGACTCTTTCAAAAAAGTATATATTTTTGGCATATGCATTAACTATGCATGCATGTACGAAATACGAATAGAGCCAAGAAAAATTATCGCAGACTATTCGAGAGAGGAGAGCAGCAGATGCTTACACAGTCCTCCAAAGGCCATATACATGCATTCTTCTCGTCAAAAGTTGGCGCTTCGAGAGCTGTGCACACATGTTATGTCGTCTTCGCATGCATAACTGTGCACAACTGGCACAAATTCTTCTCGTCAAAAGTTGGCGCTTGGAAAGCTGTGCACACATGTTATGTCGTCTTCGCATGCATAACGTCACTAGCTGTGCGCACAAAGTGCGCAGTTTGTGCCAGTTGTGCACCGTTATGCATGCGAAGACGACATAACATGTGTGCACAGCTTTCCAAGCGCCAACTTTTGACGAGAAGAATGCACGTATATCACGGTCTACGGCCAAAAGATTCATCATAGGCACACGCATCTGTGAATGTAAATAGTTCGTATTTGGAATTTTTGGGTGAGAGAGAGAGTACGGCCAAAGAGATTTTAATGGCACCATTATTGATTGAAACACGTGCGCTGGGCGACAGTCAGTCTCCCTGAGTCTCAACTGCTGGGCGATAGTCTGACAAGCCTGTGTGACAGTCTGGCTGAGGCTTCCACCTGCAGTGGGCGGCAATCTGACAAGCCTGTGTGACAACTCTGTCGTATTACCACCCAGTTTCAGCCTCAGTCAGACGGTCGCCCGGCCTGTGGGACTGTCTGCCCTTCAATCAGATTTCAAAATCAAGAATTTAATAAATAAATAAATAAATATTAAATAAATAAATATTAATTAAAACTACTATTAAGAGCACTCCCATTGAACTATCCCGTTCTGCCCCTGTTTATAACTCTGCGGCTCTGCCCCTACTTGACTCTGCCCTTACTCTAGTCTGTCAA